GCTCATTAATTATCTACAAAGATTAATTCGAGTTGACAGGAACACATTATCTAGAGCCCTCGGGACTTGGGGCCACTGAGTTGACAGGGAAACATTATCTGGAACCCTCGGGTCTGGGGTTAATTGTGCTGTCCTGGTTCCCAGGTACAGAGGAATGTGCTTTCTGAAACCAGTAAGATCACAATCAATGGGATGTTCACATGACAATCAATAAGGCGTTCAATTGAATGGGATGATTTATATAATTCAGAAAATCAAAATAACTTTTCTATTGTTAAGCCAAACAGCTGGGTTAAACTACAATTTCTACCTGAGATGATTGCTACCATACTTCAGTTTCTGGAACCCGTCACCCCTGGCTAAACCGTGAGCTGCTCCTTTTGGCGGTAAGAAATGTTAAGAGGGAGCTGTGGTCCTATAACAGAGCCAGAGGCTGCGATGACCTAATTTAACTGTAATTGACTATTGTTCCTCAGCCCTGGGGCGTTCATGACACCTTGAGGGCAAACATAGCAGCCTCCTTCGCTGCAGGCTCCTGCCCGCCCGGCCCCACCTCGATGCCCTGCCCAGCCAGGGGGAGGTGGGCTTTTAGGTGTTTCCAGGTCAGAGTTGAGAGATTTTATCAGCCCTTGCTCCCAGGGTTTCACTCAAACTCGTGTGCGACCCAGGAGCGGCGTCTGCTTTCACCGTCTGCAGTCAGGCCGGTAAGTCTGGGTACCTGACCCTCCTCGGCAAGAGACGGGTGCGAGGGTTCAGACATCCCCTGAGGCCTGGCCGATCCGGCCTGCAGCTGGGTGCTCAGCCCGGCTCCATTTCAAGGCTGGAAAAGACCCATTTTCCTGACGAAAGCCGGAGCGGGAGCTGCGTGTGTGAGAGAGAGAGAAGGGGTGGGGGTGGAGGTGGGGGAGGTTGGGCGCGTGTCCTTGGGCTCTGAGGCTGGTGTTTTTCGGTTTTTAATTTTTATTTCTGTTAGGAGTCCCCACCTGAGGATAATCTCCCCCCCCACACAGATTGTTTAGAGAGAGGGGAAGAGAGAGGTAGAGTGAGAAAAAAAATATTGATCTTAGATACATTGGTTGCCTCCCACATGTGCACGTGCCTGGACCCGGACTTGGGATGGGCCTGCAACTGAGGTATGTGGTCTGGGCCGGAACCAAACCCGGGACCCTTCCGTTCATGTGCCGATGGGATGCTCTAGCCACTGAGCAACCAGCCAGCGCTATTTATTTTTTTAAATAGTTTTTTTAAAAAAAATCCTACTCTGCCGAAGCCGGTTTGGCTCAGTGGATAGTGCGTCGGCCTACGGACTGAAAGGTCCCAGGTCCGATTCCGGTCGGGGGCATGGACCTTGGTTTCGGGCACGACCCCAGTGGGGGGTGTGCAGGAGGCAGCTGATCGATGTTTCTCTCTCATCGATGTTTCTGGCTATCTCTCTCCCTTCCTCTCTGTAAAAAACCAATAAAATATATATTTTTTAAAAAAATAATATTAAGAGAACAGATGGTAAACA